AGCCCAGCTCCAGGTTGAGCTGTTGTTCAGCATCTTAGCTGTGGAGGGCAGTGTCACTGGCCCTCATGTGTGGGATCCGAACCGGGGCCCTCTGGTGTCCCAAGCCAGTTCTTAACCATCGCGCCACTCGGCCGGCCCAATAGCGTTTTTTTATTGTTAGATGCCAGCCACTGCTAAGCTTTATGTTTGAAGGGACCCTGCACTTCTCATACTTAAATTTTAGTGGCAAATGTTTATCAATCACTTCTTTTGGGCACTCAGTCTTAGTTTTATAAGCCTTGATGTTGTCGGACGAGTCATATTCTTAATGTAGTTAACCATGTGTTTTATTCCTTAATTTAGTTACAAAATCAAGAGTCATCGTGAATCTGATGGCATGGCTTTAATTACCTTGCGGAGGAACCTTTGTCATTTATCTGATTTTCGGATACATGGCGCTCTGGCTGCTCTGAAAAGTCAACCTGTAAATCACGTTCACAAGGTAGTCGGGGAGCGTCTGGGTCCACGGTTCTCCTCACGACAACCTGAGCCTTTCAGGGTCAGGTTCCACCATGCCCGTTGTAAAGAGTTCCACTCAGAAAATGGAAATGACCTTCCTCCAGCTGGTGAGCCCGTGTTCTCTCACGATCGGGACGGTTTTGAGCAAAATCTTAAAAGCATGGACGAACAGATATTTTACAGGAGACTAAACAGCTCCGCTTCATCAGAAGAAGTGCTAAGTTTTATAAACACACTGGAGACTTTGCCTGATACAATGGCGGCGGCGGCCTTACAACGGGTTTGTGAAGTGGCACAGAAAGATGGCGAGCAGAGGCTGCCCAAGGCAGTACTAGAGAATCCCGTCTTTCAAGCTCTATGCGTTCCGTTTGAACAGGAACCCTCAAAGCTGTCAAACACTAGTTTGGTGACTGCTTTGCAAGCCCTGACACTGTTGGATGTGGGTCCCCAAAGCAACTTGTTACGGAGCCTGGTGGCGGAATGCCAGCATCGTCTCCACAGGGGTGGCCTGGAAGTCCACGGGCTTTGTGTTCTTGGAGAAAGTCTGATTCAATTGCAAGGCCCAGGCTGTGCGACACTAGACCTGATTATATATCAACTGCAAGGTGAAAACTTGGAAACCTTCCCCCCTGAGGACATTGTGGCCCTTTATAGGATACTGCAGGCATGTGCTGAAAAAGCGGACCAACACCAAACGTTTCTTAATAAGATAAACAACTTTGCCCTGTCAATAGTTTCCAACCTGAGTCCTAAGTCGATAAGCCAAGTTCTCACTGCCTTAGTGGTTCTTGATCAAACTCAGGCACTTCCTCTGGTTATAAAATTGGGAAAATACGTTGTGAGGCATATCCCTCATTTCACCAACCAAGAGCTCAGGAAGGTCTTAGAGGCTTTCATATACTTTGGGCACAATGACAGGTTTCTTACCACAGCCCTGGAGCAGCACGTGGCTTCCCTCTGTCTCACTCTGGACCCCGAGGTTGTCAGCACAGTCACGGAGTACTGCAGCCGAAAACGGATTCTTTCAGAGCCCATCCTGAATGCAGTGGCAGAAACTTTTGTTTGCCAATTGGAGAAATTCTCACCTAGTCAGATTTCTGAGTTGATTGAAGCATTTGGAAGACTCAATTATTTGCCACCAAATGCCTCTGCTTTATTTAGAAAGCTAGAAGATAGATTATTTACTCATATTAATTATTTTCCTCCCAAAACACTATTGAAACTTCTCCATTCGTGTTCGCTTATTGAATGCCATCCAGTCAACTTTATGGCCAAACTGTTCAGCCCTTATTTTCTTCAACGGCTGCTAGGTGAGTTGGTTTCAACCTTGAATTTGTGATGTTTTACACTGAGCAGTGCCTCGCCTTTCTTTTTCCTGCCATGATTACCTAAAGGAGACATCTGCAGTTGCAGGTGCTCATGTAAACGCAGAGTTAAAGAATGCTAGGACACTGCATCCGGAGAGAAAACAGTGTCGGGTGAACAGACTGCTGCCCTAGCTGAGACACCGAGGGTTCTTGTGGGACTGTGGGGGTGGCAGTGACACCAATCACAGTACTGTTATAATCTCCGTGAGACAGCCACTGTAGAACTCCTCGTTTTTATTTTGAGAAGATGGTGTTCATCTTAATTCAAGGCCACCAAATATGTCAAAACTCTGGATCTCCATAGTTAAAGGAAATTCCCACCAATTCTGCCAACGTACTTTGTCCCCCTTTATATAGTCTGTAGTTAGGAACTTGAGTTGTTAGAAGTAAGAATGAGATTGCATTGACGGCAAGTAAGAAGGCATCATTAACTGTAACATGTTCTTTCCTTAGTGTCATTTAGAAGTTCCATGTACATTCTTAATATTCTTTTCTCTCATTACAGATACCAAATGCAAACTTAACTGTGACTGGGATGCTTTTTATTTTAGGTGAAGAATCACATTTGGACAGACTGAGCCTAGCACAGCTGACCCAGCTCTTGTTAACCTCCATCCTAGAATGCCCGTTCTATAAGGTAAAAGCACAAACTGTGTCGCTTTAGTTGCCTGTGGGGGAGGTTTTCTTTGGCCCCTCCCTGCCCTTCAACATCTTTTCAGCTCCCTCTCTTTCGATCTGTCTCAGAAACTTCACCAGAAACCAGAACTTTCATTCACTTGGGGTTAGTGACCACCAGAGAGCCCTTTCTTTGATAAATCGACCCCACTTCTGCTTCCTTGTCCTTGAAGGGCCTGCTTCCTGCTGTGTAAGATTTGGAAGTTTTTATCAAGTGCAGCGGGCATAGGAGTCAGTCCTTGAGATCACGCTGAGGGCTTTAGCCTTCCGGTACCTGTCAGGTGCGACCTTGACTGGACTGAACACATGGCACAGCACCGCGTACGCTTCTAGGCCAAGCCAGCAATTGCCCTCTGGTCTGATAAGTTTAGTGGACGTGGAGTTTGTGCGTCCATCAAGTTCTCCTAACGTTATCCTGCACCTGGTTTCGTGTCAGAGGTAGTGTCTCCAGGTGCGCATCTCCCCGCCTCGTCCTCCGAACTTGATTGAACCAGTTTGAAAAGTTGCTCATCCAGGTTGTCTCTCCAGGGGGTGGGACAAAGTACAATTTGCTTTTATGCCCAACACATCGTGGACGTTCCTCAGGTAACACGTCAAGATCCAACGCGTTCTTCTTAGGAATGGCATGGTAGCTCCTGGTATTTAATCACTGCTGATGAAGTTCAGGTTTTTCCGATATTTGACTTTGTCAGCAGCCCTGTGACAAATATCCTTGCGTATCCTTTCATATTGAAGCCTTTTGGGTTTTTTCTTAATCTAGAGGCTAGATTTCTGAAAGTGGGATGACTGGATTTTTGATAAATACCAACAGATGTTTTTTACCCTAAGACTTGTGGATGCCACGTTTCCCCAGCAATGAATGGAGGTGGCCCTGCCCCTCCCACTTCATTGCATCGTGCTATTAGTCACTTTAAGTTTGTCATTCAACTCAGTGAAAAAGTACCATACCATGCCACATGCTTAAATTGTATTTTAATGAGTAACAATGAAGTTAAGCACCTTTTCAAATGCTTATTGGTCATTTACATCTGCTGTCCGTTGCCTTTCTACCTCCTAACTTATTTCTCTTGCATTGTTTGGCTTTTTTTACCCCCTGTAACTCATTATAAAACAGAGGTATTAAATATTATGTATATTGCACTTACTTCCAGCTTGTAGTTTTTATTTTTTGGTATAATACCATGCTTTTTGCTGTACAGAAATTTTTAAATTTTCTATAGTCAGATCTATCCGCCTGGTATGGCTTCTGGGTTTCCTAGCTTGCTTAAGAATATCTTATCATTCTTAAGGTAATATAAATATTTTACCAAATTTTAAAAATTACTATTTTTCTTACTATAATTAGATCTTTAATCTACCTGTAATTGATTATAGTCTGTGATGGGATAACTTTAATTTAGTTCTTTTCCACATGGATAACCCAATTGCTACCACTATATATTACACAAGTATTTCTTTCTTACTCAATTGAAATGTCACCTTTATCGCATTTTCTACTATTGAAATTTTAGTTGCGTGTCCTTAAGGCCCTTAAAGTGATTCTAAGAGCTCCAACGTTGTTTCTTAAACTGTTATAACATTGATTTCCTTCTTTCTTTTTCTTCCTTCCTTTCTCCTCTCCCTGCCTTTTCTTTCTCTCTCTCTATCCTATGGTGATCATTGACTACTACTCAGGCACATTTAAAAGATATTTTGAACGATTGCACTTGAACTATAATGACTATTTTGCATTGTCATTTTGAGAAAGGTGTTTGTCCTAAGGCCTGGAAATGTATCTTGCCTATAAAGGAATTTTGATCAACTTTTACCCTCAGGTAGCTTCGCCTTCTTTTCTGGCTTTGTCACCTTACTTTTCTTTCTGTTTGCACATACGATTTTTAGGGTCCAAAACTTCTTCCTAAATACCAAGTGAAGTCATTTCTCACGCCGTGCTGTTCCCTGGAGACGCCTGTGGATTTCCAGCTGTATAAGTTTGTGATGAGTGGCCTGATTGACTCTTTAGGAGCAAGACAGTATTTTGCTTCCAAAGTGCTGACGCCATATTGCTACACGATAGGTAAGCAGGAGGGAGGTCTGTTGTTGACTAAACCTTGGCGTGCGTGCATTCTCATGTGGAGTGTGTGGGACTTAGGAGCCACCGAAGGCCTGGTGAGCAGCTGGGCTGCAGAGTCCAAACGGTCTGGGCCCGTGCGGCAGCCATGTCGTCGCAGAACGCTCTGCGCAGGCTTTCCCCTCCTGTGCCGCATCGTACCTGTAAGCTGGGAGTGGAGGAATGGCGACCTCTAAGACTTGTGTAGGGGTACATGAAACAGTGTGGACTCATACCTGGAACATAGTAAATGCTCGGCAATTGTAGCTGCTGTGATACTCAGCGGTGTCCAAGAGTTTACATTCTAATTAATTAAATTGTTTGAAAAATTTCAACTTCGGTTCCTGGTTGCCCTGGCCACACTTCAGGTGCTCAGTAGCTGCTGGTGGCTTGTGGCTGCCATATTGGACAGCTCGGGTATAAATATTTCTGTCACCACAGTTCTATGGGACAGCGCTGACTAGCGTCCAAGACCTTCTACCCTTACAATTTTTTAAAATTGATGAGTAAAAGCAAATCAGCTCAAAGAAGACAGTGTTTTGTGGGCTTCAGGTGGTCACATCTCACTCCCTCCTTTATGGGCTCTAGGACAAAAGGCACAGAACACCAGAGGGCAGGAAGGGGAGTCTGCCCATGCATGGGGACCACGTGTCGGGGTGCAGGGTGCTGTCCTACCCTGGCGGCCTGGGAGCTCCTGTGATGAAAGGTTCTAGGTGCACAGGCGTCTAGCTCAGCTTACCTTAAAGAACTGTCTTCACTGCCTGGATTGAGGGGTTCAGCTGTGTGCACGGTCCTGCACACCCTACGTGACCTGCGAACCCACTCCCGCTTTGTGTAATTGAGCCTTCTTGGTTTAAGGCTGACTTGGCTGAGCACAGACCCGTTGAATGAAACTTCTGACTGTTGTCTGGTGTGGTCCTTACGTTGCAGCCTTCAGGCGCCTGGTAAGCGCCGTGTGGAGGAAGCACAGCAGGACGAGGAGGAAAGGAAGGTAGTGTTTGTGAGGTGATCACACGAAGGATTTCTCCTCTTTTCTCACCAGATGTTGAAATTAAATTAGATGAAGAAGGATTTGTATTACCATTTACAGTTAATGAAGATGTACATAAAAGGTAAGGAAAACTTGTGGATTATGTTGTAAGTCTTATTGAAGTTAATAAACAATGATGTTTTCTTAGGAAAGCAGGAATAATAGACATGATTCTGGAAATTAAAACACTACTTTGCAGCATACCACTTTTAGAAATGCCTTGTAACATTTTATGAACCGCAATAAAATTGAGTGCTTTTTCAACCATTAAAGGATACACAGTCATAATTCATTTGAAAATAGCATTGGCAAATAGGAATAAGCAAATCCCAAATAAACTCTGGCAACTAAAAATATATAAGTATATTGTGTTGTTTTAAAAACTAAGTTTCTCTCTGATTTTTCAGGGTAGCACTGTGTATTGATGGTCCAAACAGATTTTGTTTGAATAGCAAACATTTACTGGGAAAGGAAGCAATCAAGCAAAGACACCTACGCTTACTGGGTTATAAGGTTGTTCAGGTATGTTGTTTTTGTTTTTGTTGTTTTTCCCCCAAAAGCAGTAGTTCAGGTTCACTCTTTCCAGGGTACTAAGTGGTCGGCCAGCCCTAAGGATCAAGAATTTAAATGCCAACTTTATTAATTAAGCCTAAATCTCTCGATTTATATTTTGAAACACAGAACTTTCAAATCTCAGTTTTTCCAAAAGTGGGGAATCCCTGTGTTCTCTGTAAGCTCTGCTTAAGTATGTTTAGATTACTGAATTCTTGGAAAGTCTGTTGTATCTTAGTTTCTCCAATTTAATAAATAAAAATGGACAAGACAGCCCATTAAAACTAGGATCTTCATAAAACACTTAACGTTGAAGACCTTATTTGTGTTTACGTCGTAAATCACGTAAGGTCTTCTGCGAGGAGCCCAGTGGGTGCCCGTGGAGCCTCCCAGTGCCCTAGGCCGTACACCAGTCTGCCCTCTGCTTTCCCGTCTGGGTGCCTTTCCACTTCATCGGCACAGCCCCAGATGGATTTTCTAGAACCAATTGTCCTGGTGTGTGCTCAGAAGCCTTCACTGTGTTGCTTACAGGACCAGGTGGAGGCTCCTTTGCATCTGTCTGTCCCAGGCCCTCGCTCCAGCCCAGTGGTCACTTCCCGTCCCCGCCCCCTCTGTCCCCTGCACTCCCTCGCCTTTCTCCTATGCCCAGCTGCCTCTGCCACCACACTGGTCTCCAGCACCCCGAGTATCTCACTTCTGCTCATTCATCAGCTCCCAGCTCAAGGCTGCGTTTCACTCTAATCTGGCAATACCAGAGCACCAGTTTTCTTTGCATACTCTGCTTTGTATTTGCTGAGCCCCTGCTATGTGCCAGGTGCTGCTGCTGGCACTGGGCCTACGGGATGAGAGAGCTGGCATGCTCTTTGCCCTCCGGGAGCTTACCTTCTGCCATGGCGGAGGGTGCGAGACACAAGCAAGTAACCAAAAACCCAGTGGAAAGTCCGACTATGGAGTAGGACTAATTTTCTTTTCCTCCCTTTACAGATCCCGTATTATGAGATTGAGACGCTAAAGTCAAGACTTGAATTGGTGGAATATTTACAAAGAAAACTGTTTTCTCAGAACGCTGGCATTTGTTGGTAGCAAGGAATACTGGCCTCAGAACTCATATCATGAAAGAAATTGTGTTTTCATGGACTCAGTATGAGAAAAAGAATGTACTTTGTGAATTAGCTATTTGTTTATGGACTTGTGATCAGGAAACGGGTTATAGTTTACCTTATACCATGCATACAATTATTGGTGGAAAACTTAAAATTTGTATTAAATTTTTATTTAATACAAGTATCATATTTTTATACAATAAACAATCGGTCAAGTATAATAAATTATGTAATGAGTGTTATTTTAAAATCTTGTGTCTTGTAAGAATTATCTAACTGGAAATATGCTTTTGTTTCCTCTTCTAACAAATGTAAGGAAGAAATTTTACCTCCCATGTCCTTTATATATTTTTTAAACTAAGTAATATATGGTCAGGAGGAGGAGTGATGAAAAACACACTAGTCCTTTAGATATCAACAGATAGAATTATGCAGAAATAACCCTTTAGTAGGAAAATATTTTATAGTATGGGAGCTTTTATTGTCTTTGTTTCAATAAAGGTATAAAGACATGACAAAACTTAGGTAGGGCTTTTGGGGGCTGTTTGGGGGGAGAAGCTTCTGAGCTTTCACTCGAGTGGACGGCACTGTCTTTAGTTCACTGTAGACGCTTCGGTGTCCTGTCACGGTCAGGTGCAGATTTCCGGGAGACAGGACAAGGAGGCAGCCCTCGTGAGGGCTCTGGAGTGGGACCCTGGTTCTCCCACCAGCCAGTTCTGTGACTTTGGGCAAGGAGACAGGCCACGCTGAATCGTCACTCACTGTCCAACCCCATTTCCAGCACTTGAGCGTAACGCTGTGTGAGCCTTCCGAATGAGGGGGGTCCCCCTTCCACAGACAGTGGGCGGCCCAGAGAGGAGGGGTGTTCTAGACAGAATGTCATGCCTCGCGGGTGGTGCGTGAGATTGAAAGCTGGTCCTAAGCAGCGGACCCGAGTGGCTAAGAATCCAGCCTGGTCTGATTCCTAGCTCGGCCACGGGCGGAGCACCCGTGCGCCTGTTTCCTCGGGGATAATAAGTGATGACAGGGCTGTGAATAGTTCCCTAGGACTGCCACAACAAGGTACCAAACAATGGGCGGCTTAAAACAACAAATGTATTTTCTCACAGTTCTGGGGGTTAGAAGTCCAAAATCAGGGTGGCTGCAGGGCCGTGCACGCCATCTCTGCCCCTCACGTGGCCGGCTTCCCTGTGTGTGTGTGTGTGTGTGTGTCTGTCTGTCTGTCTGCACACCAACCACAGGGCATTAGGTCTCACCCTAATGACCTCATCCTGATTAAATCTGCAAAGACCCCATGTCCAAATAAGGTCACATTCATAGGTACTGGGGGTTAGGATTTAAATGTAGCTTTTGGAGGGGACACAATTCAACCCGTAACAGGTTGAAATGAATATTATTGTTAATGAGTATAAAGCATTTAGAAAACTGCCTGCAGAGTAAGCACACAATCTATGTAGCTACCATTGGTCTGAATTTCTACCCCATTAAGCAATATACGAGGTGTGATCAAACAGTATGGTGAGGGCCGGCCGAGTGGCGCGTTGGTTGAGAGCTGGCTTGGGACACCAGAGGGCCCCGGTTCGGATCCCACATATGAGGGCCAGTGGCACTGCCCTCCACAGCTAAGATGCTGAACAACAGCTCAACCTGGAGCTGGGCTGCCGTGAGTTGCCGGCGATGGTGTAGGCTGCAGCCCCTGTGGCAGTGGGTTGCCATGGGCTACCGTGTGTAGCCAGCAGCCAGCGTGAGCGGCCAGCAGCCGCTGTGAGCGGCCATCCAGAAGCCGGCGACTGATCTGCCTCACCCGGGAAGAGCGCAATGATGGTGCCAACTTGGGCCAGTGAAGCAACGTCCTCCACAACTAGACTGAAGAACAAAATGACAGCAACTTGTCTGTACACCTTCCCCTGATTCCCCTGGGCTGTTCCCATCCCCCAATTCCCCAATAAAAATCTTTAAAACAAAAAAAACAGTATGGTGAATGTTTAAATAAAAAAATTGATTACGGGGACCTGCCGAGTAGCTCAGTTGGTTAAGAGCACGAGCTCTGAGCAACAGAGTCACCGGTTCAATTCCCACATGGGCCAGTGAGCTGTCAACAGGATGGTTCAGCTGGTGAGAGCACGTGTTCCTAAAAACAAGGCTGCTGGTTTGACTCCCGCATGGGATGGTGGGCTATGCCCACCCACAACTAAGATTGAACACAGCACCTTGAGCTGAGTGGCCACACGCTGCGTATGAGCAGCTGGATGGTGACTGGACTTGGAGCTGAGCTAGCTACGCCCTCCACTTAAGACTGAAGGACAACAACTTGGCTGTTCCCCTTCCCCAGTTCCCAAACACTGTTTCCTTTCCCCAACTCCCCAATAAAATCTTTCAAAAAAATTGATTACACTAAAAGACATTGCCATTAATCCTCCTCAAACTACTCCCCCTCACTTCCAACACACTCATATCATCCTTCTTGCCACTTTCTGAAGCAGTTCTGGAAGCCCTCTTTCGTGATTGCACTGTTGTGGCTACCTCGATGTCAATCCCTTTTACTTTGGGGAAGAGCCAGAAGTCGCATGATGCCAGATCCGGTGAATAAGGTGGATGAGGACACACCGTAATGATTTTGACAGAAATTGCCATACACCAGAAGTGATGTGGGACATAGAGCGTTGTCATGATGGAGGATGACTTACAGCACACTTTAAAACATACCTTCTCTCAACTGTAGCTCACACCTGACTGACTGCACTGAACAAGCTGAAACTTGTCACATGCTGTTACTAAGGTTTGATGCACCGCTTCCCATATTGAAGATCCCTGCCTTTCCGTTGCATGGCACTCGGCAGCAGCACTCACCATCTTTTGTGATCACAACGGAAAGGCTCCGTGTCACATCACTTCTGGTACGGCAATTTCTGTCACATAAAAACATTACAGTGTGTCCTCATCCACCTTATTCACCGGATCTGGCATCATGCGACTTCTGGCTCTTCCCCAACATCAAAATGACCATGAAAGGAAAACGTTTTGAATCGATTCAGGACATCGAGGCAGCCACGTCAGCACAACTGAAGACACTCAGGAAAGAGGACTTCCAGAACTGCTTCAGAAAGTGGCAAGAACGATGGGACGAGTGTGTTAGAAGTGAGGGGGGGTATTTTGAGGGGGATTCATGGCAATGTGTCTTTTACTGTAATAAGTTTTGTTTTTAATTTATTTAAACATTCACCATATGTTTTGTTCACGCCTCATACTACACTTGACCTTTTTGGGTCTGCTGATTTTTAAAACAGGAAATGGGGACTAGATGAGCTCTGAGATCATTCTTTAAGTTATGCCTCGAATCAGAGAAGGAAGAGATGGTAGCAAACGGAGACTGACGAGGAGAGAGGTGCCGGACTCTGCTGTGTCCCTGTGCTCAGCTGACCTTGCCACTCACTCCCTCCCCAGCCTCTAGGCCAACCTCATGGCACCATTCGCCCCCCGCCCGTGACTCAACGCCTCCTTGGGCAGGAAACACCCCTGAGATGTGAAGTAAACAGCTTTCAGTTGAAAGAGGGGAGAGAGACCTAACTAAACAGCCACGCCGCAGGTAACGAGAGGCAGTTGCAAATGCTAAGAAGCACAGCCTACCATGTTCTTCCTCCACCTTTCCATCATGACCTTTTTTCCTGGTTGCTCTAATCGGAATCAGACATGGCTCCCTCTGCACGCCTGGTTCCTTCCTCCGTGGAGCCTTTGTCCTGTTTGGCTGTCCCCAAACCCCCTTCCTTCATTCACCAAACATTCATTAAACAGCTCCAACAATGCTGGGCGCCCACTAAGCGCTGGAGCTCCAGAGGGAAGCAGACAAGAGTCCCTGCCCGGAGGGGCTAGGAGTCGGGTGGGAAAAAGAATGAGATGATGACAGCGATGCGCTGCGTTCCTGAACACGCAACACGTGGGGACTGAGCGAGGCTTCTGGTCGAGGTCTGTGAGCTGTGTTTACAAGGAAGGAAGAAGGGTTTGTGTGGTGGGAGTTTTCAGGCCATCGTGTGGCCAGAGCCCCCAGCGCAAAGCACACTGGGTAGTCACAGGAAAGGCAGCCAGACCTAACTCTGGGTCTGTTTGCTATTGCAAAGCAAATTCTTATCCTGAAAATGTGAATATTGCAAAAATAATTTAGGCTAATAAATAGAGACGTATAAGGTTGCTGGTTTCACCAGCTGAAACGAGTTTGACAAGCCCTGTCAGATTATAACGCCAAGTCCTTACACACTGAATTCTCGGGTCGGTGGATTTGAATGTGTGCACAAGTGATGTGACGGCTGGTTGAAATGACATACCCAGTCTGGTGGCTCTTGGGACCATAAATTGATGATGTTTTCGAACAAGGTTTAATACTGCTGCAGTTTTTCAGAAGTAAGAGAAAAGAAAGGAAAAAAGGTAAAATTGGTGGGGAAAAATTGTTTTAACTTGCAAGCATAACCCCTGAAGCACAGTGATAGTCTTCATGCCTGCCACTAGGGGGCAGCAAAGATTAGAACATTGGGGAGCTTTAGCCCCGAAAAAGTGACGATCCCTGGAGAGGGGTGGTGGTGGTGTGTGTGTGTGGCGGGGAGCAGAGCTGTGGAACAATCAGTGACACTTCTCCCTGAACAAGACAGCACTTTGCCTGACCCAGGCCTGGACAGGAAAGGGCCAATGGTGTGCTGGGATGGAGCGATGCCTGCTGAGTGGGGGCTCCTTGAATACCAGGGTCCCACCTTCCGAATCTTTGTATGCCTGGGTGCTTAGGAAGGCCTGGGGAACATCTGTTAGGTGGCAGAAAGAACAGGAAGGAGCAGAATTCGGCATATTTGATAGACTTCTGGGAACACAAGGAAAGAGTTCCCTCTGAAAAGCTACACCCACTGGAAGACTGTACAGACAACGGAGGGATGTGGGCTCCCTGGTGGTGAAGGAGGCGAATCAGCCTCCAAAGGCTGCGATTTCCCCAAGCTGGAAACATCGCAGGCCCATGTGGAGTCTAAAGGCTTTGAGGAGAGTGAAATGAGGCACACCTTGCAAACTACCGGCCAGCATCGGGGAAACAGTCAATGCCCAGGAAGCCGGTGGTCTATTGTCACACCAGTACACGTGTTGTGCGGCAGTCGCCATTGAACTTCACAGCAGCGCGTGGTGAGGGTGCCTGTCAGGAGTGCTCTGCAAGGAGGAACACGACTGACTCCCGCTCCTTACGACTCCTGGGGGTGCCATGGGCACCGTGGCACCTGCTTTTGTTAATTAGCACAGGACATCGTGCTGGGAAACCTGTTCTTGAAATCCTATTGGTGGAAGGATGAGACATCCCTCCACTGCCTACAGGACCTGAGTCTCATGGGCCACTGTCACCCAGAGAAGTCACCTCAATTTCAACCCGATGCAGAGCTGCAACTCACGGGGTCTGTGTACTATCCCGCACTTATCTTACCTTTGAGGATCCTTAGGTTGGCTTCTCAGGCCAGGCCGAATATTAACCCTTTTAGGCACATATTTGCTCTGCTGAGAGTCTGACCAACCAAGTTCGCTCAATTCCACCCCCGTCCACCCAGTGTCCCTCTCGGCTTGGTGGGCTCTCTCTTGGTTCCTTTGCTCTGCTGTCTCCCTTGCCACAATCAATAAGCCTAACTTTTGGTTGGTATTCTCCAACTGCTGGGGTTCCTCATGAGAAATTTTGCCTGAATATACTTGTAATTCCACTTCAGAAAAACAACGAACCATCCCCCAATCCCTCCCACAGTCCCTGGGTTACAGGGCATGCTACTGGTGGCATGATATTTTGGGTCCTGATGTTTTGGGTCCTGATGTTTATAAGAAACAATATCTCTTAATAACGCTACTGTAACTTTGATTATGGAAAACTCTGAACACACATAAAAGAGAAACAATAATATAATGAATCCACATGAGTCTTTTTATTTGGCATGAAAAGTTACCAACACTTTCCACTCATGTTCCATCTATTCTTTTCTTTTTCCTTTTATCCCCACCTCCCTATTTTTTGGAATGTTTGTAGAACAATCCAAGCTATAGCATGCTTTTATTCTAAATACTTCAGTATGCATCCATAACCAATACATTTTTTCTTTTTTAACTATTCTGCCATTATTACAGCCAACAAAATAATTATTCCCTATGATCATGTTCTGCATTTCCCATGTCTCAAAAATAATTAACTGTTGGCTTGAATTGGGACCCAAATGAAGTACACATATTACTTTTAGATGTTCTACCACATAAGTCTTGAGTCTCTTCTGTCTGTAAATGCACCCTTCCCCCACCTAGTTTCCCTGTCTTTTACTTACTGGAGAAATTAGGTCAGTTGCCCTGTAAAATGTCCCACATGACTGATTTGGTGTTATCTAACTTGTTCCTCTATCTGCTGTATTTCTTGTTAAACTTACTTAGATTCAGCTGAAATATTTTCGGCAAGGACGCTCAGAGGTGATGCTATGTATTTGCTTTGCATCACACCATGTCCAAATGTCCCCTTAGTGACACTCATGAAGACTCATCAGTGGGTTCTGGATTACCAGCCTGACCCACCCATTATACAGCCCCCATCACACTTTGAGCTAACGGTTTTAGCATCTGTTGATGATGGTTGCCTAGATCCCTTTTCTACTACATAGGTGTTAAAATAAAGACTTCCTAATTCCATCATTCCTTCTACTCTCATTAGCTTGTATTTGTCTATAAAGAATCTTCTCCTATCAACTATTTGTGTGCCCCCAGATAAGGTTTATACAGAAAGAAACAATTGTTTCTTTTGTTGTATTAATTTTTAGAACAAAAAGTTGGTGTTCTGGTCAGTTTTTCTTTTTTTGTTTTGTTTTAGAGTATTTATGAACTCATAAATATTTATATGTTTGATGTGCTTACATCCAGTATAGTCATCTTTTTGATGCTTTAATTGTCCCAATGAGCCACTTATGGGTAAAACCTGGTAACAAACAGGCTTTCTAAATCAGCTAACAAGACCCATGCCTTTTCATGAGGGAAGAGGCACAGGATGAGGTAAAGGCATATCCAATGCCACCAAGGACCACTGCCCATGCCCACCATCTGGGTAAGGTGGTTAGGAGGACAGGCAGTGGTTCCCTTGTTCCAGGAGCCAGGGTCGTGCTGTTATTCTCACTGCTAAACAGCACTGACACTGAGGGGGGTGTGGAAACCAGCGCAGGTGGGGTACCTGGGCTTGCAGGAGCGCTAGTCATAACCCTGAGTTCATGGTGCCCTTTATGTTTGCTGCATACACAGACGGGAAAGTCTCCTTCTAGCTAGTTACAAAAGCATGTGTTTTTATACATCCATTTCTTGTACTCAACCATCATCAATGAGTTTTCAGCCAAGAGAACAGAGGTATTGAATCAGCATTCAGACAGAGACACAGCATAACCACGTTCACAGAGGGTCGGAGCAGCTGAGTTTTGCCAGATTTTGTATCACGCTGATTTAATTCCCGGAAGGTTTACATCTGCACTGGGCCAAATCACACGTGGCCACCAAGGACCTAAAATTCACTACTGCCACATGTTGAAATGATACTGTTTTGAACATACCGAGTTAAATAAACATTATTAGAATTAACTTTACCTGTGTCTTTCTACCTTCTTAGTGTGGTTACGAGAAAGTTGTTAATTGCCTGTATGGCTCTCACTACATTCCTGTTGGGCGGCGCCGCCTTAGCCCCTCTGTGTTACTTATCCTTTTCCATCGCCTGTCTTCGCCACCAGACTGTAAGCTCCACGCGGACACGCAGTGGGTGCGCGGTCACCTGCTGCCCAACGAATGGTCCCCGAGTGAACGAACTCACCCAGCACGGGGAAAGTAAGTAGCTTGGAAAGTGCTGACCCTCGACGTTTCTCCCATCCGGGACCCCCGACGCAGGTGCTTTAGTAGCTGGAGCTCCGCCCCCAGACGCAAAACGTAGGGAAGGCCCGGGGTG